CCTGTGACTTTGGGAGGGGACTAAGGAAAAGGGAGATCGCACAGGTGGACACTAGCCCTGAGGAGTGATCAGGTGGAGCCACACACTGGGCATTCGAGTCTTGGGGTCCTACGCAGAAGGATAAGCCCCTTTGGCTGCTTGGAGGACCACTGGGACAGATAAAAAGGCTGGAGGAGCCTAGACTCCACTCGTGAGGAGTGCCCAGGTGCTGGTTTGCCATCAGACACGGTGGAGAGAGGTCTGCCCCAGCGGCTGCCTCCTTGCTATGCTCCCCAGTCTGAGCTAAGAGAACACCCTGGCCCCACTCATTCCACACCACAGCTTGGCAGTGGACCTAGGGCAGCCAGGACCTGGGAAAAGACTTGATCTAGGGATGCCTAGGTAACCCAGGGACCTGGGGTGCGGTCCAGGAGGGGCAGCAGTGGCCATTGTTGGCCCTCACTCAAACAGCACCACAGAAGCAGTCCAGACTTCTCATGACAGCCCAGCCACTTAAACCACTATGACCCTCAGTCCCAGCCTGGCGAATGCGCTGGCCCCAACCACTCCATACCATAACTTTGCATTAGATGTGGGATGGCCACAACTGGGGAGAAGACATGACTTTGGGCTGCTTCTGAGCCGAGCTGTAGATGCCTACAAAGGCAGCACATTGAACATCTGTAAGCATACGAGCCCCATTTACTTCACCATTCCCCTCCTTCGAGGCAAAGGCTTCAGTGCAGGGAGGAGTAAAAACTTACACTTAAAGAGAACAAAGCCAGCCTGAGTCCGACCCTCAGGGCTTCCGCTCCAGCAACTCGGAGCAGACCCCACCCCTGACAGTGTGGTGACAGCCACTGAACGGAGAGGAAGTCCCACCTCACACCGTGCACAGGCTCTAGCTCCTCCAGCACCAGTCACACCCCCTATTAAGGTGATAGTGGCCAGCACACCCTGAGAAAAGATGTGGCTGGTGTCCGCCTGAAATCCAGTCCTCACACCAGAGACACTGGGCAACCAGTCTACATAGGGATGCTCCCACATAAAAACACCTATTCAAGACTACAACAGTTAACTGTTTTCACCTAAATTCATAAAGACAGAGAAAGTTAAGTAAAATGAAAAGACGGAGAAGCTACTCTCAATTGAAAGAGCAACAGAAAACCCCAGAAAAAATAATGAAACATATAATCAGCCTACCAGACAATGAATTCAAAAAGTTGGTAATAAAAATGCTGTGTTCATTATCTGCTACAAAACACTTGCAATTCACTTATGCTAGTTGGGTTTCACTTATCATAAAAAAAAACACCTGCTGCTTTAAGCACCCTGGAAGGGGACAAAGAAACAAAAGATTAACGGGTTTCCCCGAATGATTTTGTTCCTATTTGAAGAGAGCAAACACATGGAGAAAATAAAAGAATGAGTAATGCTCGAGAATGCTGTTGTTATTCTGATCATAGGAGCAACAGAGTTTTAAAGGGATTAATCACAGTAAGCTAGAAGAGTTGGGAAAAAACGTAGTGAAAGAGGTGAAATATGAGGATGATGAAGTATGATGGGGCCAGATAATTGATTAGTCTGGATTCTGTGGAACAACCCCAGGTGAAATATTTTGTATTGTTGCCTCCGTGGGAAGCACTAGAGTTCAAAAACTTAACAGTGACTAATACAATCGTTAAGAATCCAAATTATTCCAAAGACTCTGAAGATAAGAGGTTATCCAATGTGAGCAAAAACAACCTTGCAGTTTTTGTCTATTCATTAAACTAGTTTTTACTGAGCACTGGATGTACCAAGCACTGCAGCGAGCTAGCCAGGCAGGGTTCCTGCCTTCACTGAGCTTATGTCTTTCAGGAGACGTTCACGTTAGAGTATCTGACTCACTACACCACCACCTACTGAACACCTATTGTGTGCCACATACACATGATAAGCTCCCTTCACATATGCCATCCTGTTTAACTGCCTCAACAACCCTATAAAGTTAGCACCTGAGATTTCCAGTTCTGTCTTCGAAGGGCACCTCATCTACCACAGGTCCCTATGCCAGAAGCTGCAAAACATTTTGCTGCATTAAAATGCCACAGGTCCCCAACTCGCAAAAAACTTTCAGAAGTAGGTATTGCACTACAGGAAGAAGCAGGGCTTGGGCGCCCGGGGCCAGGCGCAGTGGCTCTCCCAGCCGACGAGCCTCTACCAGCCGCTTGGTAGCTGCAGCCCCGCCCCTCCCTCTGGGCGCCCTTTGTCCCAAGCTCGCTTTCTGCGCATGCTTAGCGCACTGACCCCGCCCTCCTTGGCGCCGCGATCGGAGCCATTTCGCCGCCGCTGCTGCCTCTGACTCCGTGCGTGTGGCTTTGCGTTCGCTGTGTGTCCGTCGCTAAGGCCGAAGCCACGGACGGTCCTAAGAGGGCTGTGCTCTCGGGTACCAGGAAGCGGACGCCGGTAAGGGAAAGACGTTCTTGTCACTCGTTGGGCCCCGCGGCTCTGCCGCCGGGCTTTGTTGCCAGGCGCGGGCGGCGGGGGCGGGGAGGGGGAGGGGAGCCGCCCAGCCGGGTTCCCGGATTGCGCGTTGCGTGCTGCTGGCCGCGCCGCGCTTGCGCTGTTCGGGGCCGCGAGGTGGCCCCCGGTTCTCCGCGCAGCTGGTCACGGTCCGGTCTCCGGAGCAATCAGACCCCACTTCCTCCTCCGCCTTGCTCGCGGCGGTGGCGCTGTCGCCGTCGCCACAGAGTGAAAGGGGGTGAATCGTCTGAGGGTGAGCCCGTTGAGGCGCCGCCAATCACGCCTAGGGCCCATGCCACAAATACTGGGTGCTGTCTTGCGGGTGTTGTGGACAGAGTAAACAGGTTAGGCACAGTCCTTGCCCTTCCCTCCCAGAGGTTGCTGTCGTGGCGCGGGGGTGGCAGTAGGGAAACAAATGTCTGTAGGTTTCGGTAAAAAGATCATGAGGAATTAGTGTAAAGGGAGGGAGCTACTTTAGATAGGGTGGCAAGGGCAGGCTTTTCGGAAGAGGTAGACCTTTGAGCCGATATCTCGGCCATCGGGCGGAGAATGCGTCAGCTATGAAGACGCGGAGGAAAAGCAGAACTGCAGAGACCGAAGGGATTAGTTAGTGTTTACTGGCAGGGATTGGAAAGAAACTGAAAGAAGGCCATGTGACTGGAGTGTGGTGAGAATTTAAGGGATTTAGCGGTAACCAGAGTGGAAATGGGAATCATTTAGGACGTTCTGGCCGCACTCCAGGTGGGCAGTAGTGGTAGCGGGGAGAAGGGAGAGAAGCGAATGGATTGGAGACATGTTTTGGAGGCAGAAGTACGCAGTAAATCAGTAGTAGATCAGGACTACCTGGCTTGGAATTCTGGATCCCCCAGTTAGGAGCTCTGTCTCCCGGGGCAGGTTATTCTTTGGCTCAGTTTACTCACCTGTAAAAAGGGAATAATAGTAATGTTTACCTATACAGTGTTGTAAGGGTTAAATAAAATAGTTCACATAGATGCTCCTTTAAGGATACCGACTGGCACATAATAACGGCTCTACAAGGTATAGCTGTGGAGGATCTTGAGGGACTGGGAAATTCCCAAATGGTGACGTGAGTAACTTGGTGAATGGAGGTGCCATTTAGGGAGACGGGAACAATGGGATTGGCGGGAAAAGGAACAGGTTTGGGAGGAAATTTAAAATTCTGTTTGCGATCCCAAGTTAGCATTCAGATGGGTCCGTTTGTGCTGCAGTTGGATTAGCTTCATTTTGGAGCTTAAAGAGAAAAGACTGAACTTTCAATATATATTTGGGCATCATTAGCATATAGTTGATATTTAATATTATGGAGTTAGAAGAGACTACCGAGGGAGGAAGGAATTTGATAGTGTAGTCCTTCATATTTCATGCTGCTCATTCACGCTGAGGGCTTGTTTTTTAATTATTCATGGTTGGAATTTGTAGATAGACATCATCAGCGTTCCACAGCTTTTCATTAATAGAATGTCCCCAGGGTTAACCTGTGACTACAGAATAAATTTTTTATACTAGGGTCAGGTTGGATGACACAAGGCTTAGGTGCTAACAAAATGCAGTAAACATTAACAGAAGACAGAGACAATGCTAGCAGTGGGGTTTCTTCTCACATCACAGCAAAACTAAATTTGTAGCATATTTTCTCTGGTTCTTAATTTACTCTCAGATACCTTGCTTGTAACTCAGACTCAGGCTCCATATCTTTTGCTATCTTATAACCTGGAGTAGAGGGAGAATGCCAACAAGTATGGTATGTTGCACTTCAAGAAAACAGAATATTCTCAAATTTTAATGAATAACAAGGCCTAAAGGAGAGATCTGGCACAGAATATTTAAGTTCATTGATTACTGTTTCCAGTTTAAGTGCTGTATTTGGACTTACTAACATAATATGTTGCCTACAACTTTGAGGGCAGTCTGTTACGAGACGTCCAAATGAGGATAAACTATTGGATTTATATATAAAATGATTGATGACCATTTTTTAATATAGTAGTTTGGGTTTGAATTTAGACCTCCACAGTGGATAACTTAGAAAAGTTACTAAAACTTTCTATGCCCTACTTTCTTCCTCTGTAAAAAGATGATATAGTAGGATCTACTGTGTATACTGTTATCTACCATTGTTGTAAGGATTAAATTAGTTAAAACACATAAAGTGCCTCTTGTAAAAAGTAGGACATTACATAAAATGTCTTTCAAGAAAAGATAAAAACCACTTGTAGTTACCTGAAGATAACGCTTGGGGGGATATGTCTTTTCCAGTCTTGATTTACCTATGCGTACTTTTTGTGTAGTTCAGATCATACTTTAGTATCCTGCTTTTTCTTATAACATGTCATAGACTTTCCAGTTATGTCATTAAAATTTCTTCATAGGCAATGTTAATAGCAGCATGATAGAATATCCTGTACTTAACCTAGATTTTCAGTAAATTCCAGGTTGGTAATTTCCAGTGTTTGTTCTTATAAATAATGCTGTTTTTAACTAACTTGTTTCTTAGGTCTGAAGAAGACACTTGAATCATGGGTGATGTTAAAAATTTTCTGTATGCCTGGTGTGGCAAAAGGAAGATGACCCCAACCTATGAAATTAGAGCAGTGGGGAACAAAAACAGGCAGAAATTCATGTGTGAGGTACTAAAACAATACAGTTTACATTTATGTGACTTTTGAGGCTTATTTTATTATTAAAAAAACAATGTTTTCTGTTTGAAAATGTTAATGTGTTGTACGTTGGGAAATCATCTTTACTGTGACTTGCCTGTTACGTCTACTTCATTATGAATCATTTTCAAGTGAGCATTACTGTTTTTTGGGTTTTTTGTGGCTGCATCACACAGTTTGTGGGATCTTAGTTCCCCAACCAGGGATTAAACCTGGGCCCCCTGGCAGTGATAGTGCAGAGTCCTAACCACTGGACCTCCAGAGAATTCCCTGAGCATTACTTTTAAAACAATCAGATAGATAAATTATTCTAATTAGAACGTGAATCTTCCACAGCTTCCATAGTACCAGTAGTGCAGATTAGAAAAGTTGGACCAACTGTTTGTAGTTTTACTAGTTCCAGTAGAAAGTATATCAATTCTTTTTTTTTAATTTAATTTAATTTAATTTTTTTATACAGCAGGTTCTTATTAGTTATCCATTTTATACACATCAATGTATACATGTCAATCCCAATCTCCCAATTCATCCCACCGCCACCACGCCCCTCCCCACTTTCCCCCCCTTGGTGTCCATACGTTTGTTCTCTACATCTGTGTCTCTGTTTCTGCCTGGCAGACCAGTTCATCTGTACCATTTTTCTAGGTTCCGCATATGTGTGTTAATATGCGATATTTGTTTTTCTCTTTCTGACTTACTTCACTTTGTATCACAGTCTCTAGATCCATCCACGTCTCTACAAATGACGCAATTTCATTCCTTTTTATGGCTGAGTAATATTCCATTGTATATATGTACCACATCTTCTTTATCCATTTGTCTGTCGGTGGGCATTTAGGTTGCTTCCATGGAAAGTAGATCAATTCTTGATTGCTTCAAGTCAGAGTACTTTAAAATAAATACAAATAGAGAGCTTGTTCTTGGGTCTTGTAAAGTCAGATTTTAATGTGGAACATTCTGTTACATGAGACGAGATTGGGCACATTCAGGGTGGTAATGGCCATAGACTGGAGCATTCTGTTACGTGAGAAGAGAATATCTGAGCCACATAAGTTAACATTCTTGTTTTTGGATTAGTTTATTACTAGACAACACCAATTAAGCTTTTTTTAATAAGACAACTGGTGAATTCTCTTAAGTATGTTATTTTCAGTGTGTTTATAGAGTATATTTCCAACAGTTAACTGTAGTCTCTTAATGGACTAGGGAATTATGAATTTTTTAAATACCAGAATTATGCAGGTCAGTCTCTCAAGGTATTTTTTTCTTGACTGTTAAAGGTTCGAGTGGAAGGATATAATTACACTGGCATGGGTAATTCCACCAATAAAAAGGATGCACAGAGCAATGCTGCCAGAGACTTCGTTAACTATTTGGTTCGAATAAATGAAGTAAAGAGTGAAGAAGTCCCAGCTATTGGGGTAAGTATGGCCAAGCACTTGAGACATATGTTATAAGGTTATGCTAATCCAGTATGTATGGAGGCCCAGAGTGATAATTTTTCGATGTTGTTTTCAAATAGTATTTTAATGTGTTCCAGAGTGAACCTTGGCATTTTGTTTTCTCGGAGAACTAGGATGATTTCCTGAAGATTTGGATTTTATTTTCATTATGTACCTGACTTGTGGGCTTGGGAAATCCCTTTAATCTGTATGTCTTAAGGTTTTATATATTTCATTCATTCAAAACTGATTTTTCAGAGCCTGTTGTATTCTGTGTACTTACAAAGATAACATTTTAAACAGAATATAAAAATCAGTAACTTTTTAAAAAATATTTATTAATTGGCTGTGCGGGTCTTAGTTGCAGCACGTGGGATCTTTAGTTGCAACATGCAGGATCTTTAGTTGGGCATGTGGGATCTAGTTCCCTGACCAGGGGTCGAACCCGGGCCCCCTGCATTGGGATCTTGGAATCTTAACCACTGGACCACCAGGGAAGTCCCAAAGTTAGTAACATTTTAAGATACATTTCCTCCCATTGACATTCCCTTAGATAGTAGAGACAAAATAGTATTTGGTGCAATGGTATATCATTCTTGTGTTTTTGATATCATGATCATTTTAATTATATTGGGAGTATGCAGCAAAAACCCCTTTCTAGTACTGTTTTTAAGAAATAAAGTTTCTCATTTAATTAAAAAATGAAAGCTTGAATTTTCACAAAAATTCAGGTGTTGTTGATATTATAAAAAGATTCACATTATGATTTAAGTAGATGCCTTAGGTAGTACCCAGTTTTTATAAAACCTTTAGGAATAATCTATCAATTTTAACACTTTTCACTGAGTTTTTGTATTCTGACTTGCTTATAAAGGTAAAAATACATGGTTTTTTTCCTTCCATTGCTTTTACCCAGAAATGGAGTCTTACTTTCTAGTCTACTGTACCACTAGATAATTACAGGATTTTTAATTAGATTGGTTGAGCCATCTATAAAATGAAGGGGCTGGACAGGATGACCTTGAAGACTTTCTGGCTATGAAAAGAATGTTGCAAATATCTTTCAAATGTTTGAAGCTATTGGCCTTTGCTCCATCTGTTATGACCTATTCTGTTTCTTTTAGCCTCTTCCTCCCTCTTGTAGTGTAGGTCTGCCTGTGGCAAATTCTCTTTTAATTCTTTTATGGAAAAGTATTTTTATTTTACCTTCTTTCTTGAATATTTTCACTGGATATACAATTCTGAGGTGCCAGTTTTCTTTCAGCACTTTAAAGATAACGTTCTGTTGTCTGATGAGAAGTCAGCAGTAATCAGATCATTTCCCCCTATATGTAATGTTTTCTTTGGTTGCTTTCATTTTTTTATCTTTGATTTCTAGCAGTTTCACTGTGATACAACTGTGCGTGGTTTTCTTTGTACTTATCCTGCTTGGGGTTTGCTGAAATTCTTGAATCTGTAAATTTATGTCTTTCACCCAATTTGGGAAGCTTTGGGCTATTATTAAAAAAAAATTTTTTTCTGCCTCATTTTTTTGTCTTCTTTTTCTGGGACTCTTATGTTAACGTGTATGTTAAACTTCCGATATTATCCCAAAGGTCCTGGAGGCTCTCTTCTTTTTCTCCTCTCTCTACTCTTCAGATTAGATGATTTCATATATATATGTATGTTGAGTATATGTTGAAGATAGTGTATTCAGGTTCACTGATTGCTTTCTCAGTTCCATTTTGCTGTTAAGTCCATCAGTGATTTTTTTTTCAGATGTTTTTTTCATTTCTAGAATTATCACCTTTTTTTTAACAGATGTCATTTTTCTGGTAGCATTTCTTACCTTTTCATTTATTATAAGCATATGTTCATAATATGACTGTGAATTTCCTTTATGTCATTGACCATAGTTATAATAGCTGCTTTAAAATCCTTGACTGCTACTTCTAACATCCGGCCATCTCAGCTTGGGCTCTGTTGATTGTGCTTTCTCTCGAGATTTCTCCTCTTTGTATGTCAAGTAATTTTGGATTATATCCTGGGCATTGTGAATATTATGCTGTGGAGACTCTAAATAGTGATTCCTCCAAAGAGTATTTATTTTGTTATTGTGTTAAGCAATTAATTTAGTTGGACTCAAACTGCAAACACTATCTTTTGAGTGATAGCTCAAATCTCACTTCAGTTTTCTGATCCTATGCTAGGAGGCTTGGAGTCTTTCCTGTATATATGTAGTTCTGGGGTTAGCCAGAGATTTGGGGAGAGTTTATACACAGAATTTGAGATTGCTCCTTTCCTTTCCAGGATTCCTTTCCCACTTTTTAGCAGCTTTGGTTTCCCCAAATTCTTATCCTCTGATATGTCAGGTCAGGAAGACAGGGTTTTCTGTTGAGTTTTAGCTGCCTCACATGGTCTTCCCTAGAGCTAAAAGGCATAATAAACAGGAATTATACCCTTGCTATTTCTTGCTTTCTCATTTCAAGTTCCTTCCAGAATCTGCCAGCTTTTGTTTACTTTTTAGTGCCTTTGTATAGTCGAGGGGGTTTTAGGGGTGTTTTAGTTCTTGTTTTTATTTTCCTAGAGCTCATGTTATCTGCAGGAGTCAGTCTAGTAGGAGCTTACTTGGTCATACCATAAACAATATACTACTTTCAGTTTTTTCTTGTTAGCATTTTAGCACATTCAGATTTTTCCCATTAAATGCTCTGAATATGCATTTTCTGCTTTCTCCCTCACTTCTTCCAGCTACACTGGCCTTCTTGCAGTTCCTCAAATATGCCGGCATCTTTTCCACCTCAAGACTTTTGTACTTAACTATTCTTTCTGCCTGTAGTGCTCTTCCTCAGCCATCCTGTTTAAAATTGCAAATCTGCTGTTACACTGGTACTTCTTATTTCCTTTCACTGTTGCATTTTTCTTCATAGCACTTACTAACTTCTAGCCCGCTGCTTCTCAACTGGAAGTCATCTTGTCCCACTTGGATGTTTGGCAATTTGTGGAGACATTTTTGTTGTTACAACTGGAAGGAAGTGGTGGTGACACTGACATCTAGTAGGTAGAGGCCAGGGGTGCTGCCAAATATCCTGCAATGCACAGGACAGCATCCTACAACAAAGAATTATCCAACCCAAAATGTCAGTTCTAAGATTGAAAAACCCGCTTCTAACCTAATTTTTCCCCCTAGATCCTCATATTAGAATTAAATTCATGAGAGCAGAGGATTTTTTTTTTTTTTTTTTTCCGGTACGCGGGCCTCTCACTGTTGTGGCCTCTCCCATTGCGGAACACAGGCTCCGGACGCGCAGGCTCAGCGGCCATGGCTCACGGGCCCAGCCGCTCCGCGGCATGTGGGATCTTCCCAGAACGGGGCACGAACCCGTGTCCCCTGCATCAGCAGGCGGACTCTCAACCACTGCGCCACCAGGGAAGCCCTAGCAGAGGATTTTTTTGTCTGTTTTTAGTTCATTGCTGTGTCTCTAGCTTCTAGAATAGTTCCTGGCCCATATAGCAGGCATTTAATATTTTTTGGTTAGATGAATGAATGAATGATGAATGGATGAATTTGGAAAAATATTATATCACAAGCCAGTCTTACTTTTAGATACCATCTTTATTTCACCTCCCCATCCCTGCCAAACCCTGTTTGTGTCACTTCACTTGCGTTTTCACTCAACAGAATGCACTTGCCAAAAATGACCTGTTTCTAAATGCAAAGGATACTTAAATTTTTTTTTTTTTTTTTGAGGTACGCGGGCCTCTCACTGTTGTGGCCTCTCCCATTGCGGAGCACAGGCCCCGGACACGCAGGCTCAGCGGCCATGGCTCACGGGCCTAGCCGCTCCGTGGCATGTGGGATCTTCCCGGACCGGGGCAAGAACCCGTGTCCCCTACATCGTCAGGCAGGCTCTCAACCACTGCGCCACAAGGGAAGCCCTACTTAAGTTTTTTATTGTGGAAAATGTCAAATGTGTATCAAAGCAAGTATAGGAATGATATGAACCCCTATGTTCCCATAATCCAGCTGCAACCCTTTTCAGCATGGCTAATCATGATTCATCTCTATAATTTCTATGTATATTCTTCCTTCTGGATTATTTTGTAGCAAATCCCAAACATCCTGTGATTCATCTGTTACTGTTTCAGTTTGTATCCCTAAAAGATAATCCTTTAAAAAACATAGCAATTCCATTATCAAACCTAAAAAAAAGAAATTGAAGAATAGTTTCTTAATATTCCCAAATACCCTCAGTATTCAGATTTTCCTGATTGTTTCATAAATCCATTTTTAATAGGTTATTTAAATCATGCTCCAAATGATGTCCATATACTACAGTTGATTGATATCTAGTCTTTTAATCATTAGATTCTCTCTCCCTCTTCCTTTGTCTCTAGTTTTTCTTTGGAATTTGTTGTTGAAGAAAGCATGTTATTTATTCTTTAGTTTCCCACAGTTTAGATTTTGCAGCTATATCCCTCTGGTATCATAAAACATGTTTCTCTGTTCCTCTATTTCCCATATTTACTGGTTAGATTAGAGACTTGATCAGATTCAGGTTTGTTTGGGGTAGAGGGGCAGGAGCAAGAAATTTCCAAAGATGATGGTCTGTACTTCATCAGGAGGAGGTGCATGATGTGACGTTAGCAGCCATTGATTGATATCACCGTGTAGATTTATTTCATTAGCACATTCCTTTGGTTTCTGGCTGGAATACTTTTATAACAAGAAACCGCCTTAAAAAAACAGAAACAGAACCTCTCCTTATCAATAATTTAGTAACTCTGAGATACAATTTATACAGAAAAAGCAAGATAAATGTTTTGATTCTTTCCCTTTAACAATTAAAAGAGAGCTTCCCTGGTGGCGCAGTGCTTGAGAGTCCGCCTGCCGATGCAGGAGACGCGGGTTCGTGCTCCGTTTCTGGAAGATCCCACATGCCGCGGAGCGGCTGGGCCCGTGAGCCATGGCCACTGAGCCTGCGCGTCCGGGGCCCGTG